GTAAAATAAATCTTATAATCGTTTTTGAAGTTCTTTGAAATGAAGAAGAACTGATCCGTGGAAATGAGCCGGAATTCTCATCACTGCTAAGAAGATAGATAACGTTAGTTCATAAATATTTAAACAGCTTATGCGGACTTCGGTATCTTCCAAAGTTCCGGAAGGGCAAGGTCATCACGTAACTAATTAATATCGACGAACCTCACCATAGTAGGACCAGTCACTTCCAGAACACAGAATTGTTCAACAGTCTTTTATCGACTCTTTATAAAAAGCGCCAACTGATTGGTCCGTTTTAGAGGCGTAGGACGTTTGCGTCAGGGCGAATCTGCTTCTTTCAAACACAAAATACTTATACTGTACTGCGACTAATGAACTGAAAGGAGTTTTATATCCGTGACCGCAATGTTTTGAAGTGAGCAATGAATATTTGATAAGATCTTGACTTTTTTTTTTTTTGCCAGATATGAATCCTATTCATCTACTTCGTGTTTTCAGATGTGCTCCACGCATATTACAAACCAATAGATTTAGAAATTTCACATCCTGCCAAGTGAGTGCAAGTTTTGCCGAGTTATTCATTTCTCTTTGACATTCCTTTATTTTGTTCTTTCCCTTTTTTAGGACAAGATGGCATCCATAAAACATAAGAACACGAAACGGATAGAAGGTCTGGACAAGAATGTATGGTAAGAATAGAGATTATTTGCTAACACTTTCTCACAGACATGTGTTAAATATTTCTAACAGTGTCTGTTGTGTTTTAGGGTGGCCTTCACATCAGTGGCAGCAGACCCTTCCATTGTCAATCTTGGACAGGGTTACCCAGATATTCCTCCACCTTCCTATGTGAAAGAGGGTCTCGCTCAGGCTGCAATGGTTGACAGGCTGAACCAGTACACACGTGGCTTTGTATGTTCTGTCCACACTTTATGATTATCCTGTATTATGTTGAAAAACCACTCAAATAGCTACATTTCTGTTTTCAGGGCCACCCAACACTGGTTAAAGCCCTGTCAAAAGTATATGGAAAAGTCTATGACCGTCAGCTCGACCCGTTTAAAGAGATCCTGGCTACAGTAGGTGGATATGGATCTTTGTTCAGCACTATGCAGGCTCTGGTTGAGGAGGGAGATGAGGTAAAGTATATTTAGCACTTTCAATATATAATTGCACTAGATTATGACTTATGCATTCTCTCTACTCTTTTTTTTTTT